CTGCTGAACTGTGTATGCGCATTCTCTAAGACCTTTAATTGATAGTCTAAGTCTCTCTTTAGTCACAGACCAGCAACAGTAAACTCCAGTTTCACAATATAGTTTCAGAGTGAAATACATACTCTGAATAAATACAAAGAGATAACATGAAATAAAAATCTAGTCAACATAAAGCACTAATCTTTCAGAAAGGCAAATTAGTTTGACATTATCTACTTTATCATGAAGATCTGCCAAAAATCTTAAATAGTTGCATAGTTTCAGTCTTCTAAATGACAAAAGCAGAGGCATAGGTGGGACAAAAAAAAGCCACAATGAAGAATGTAACATTCAATACCAGAAATATGGTGTGTGACCTAGCCTTAATGCATTAGCATATCCGTATTATACAGATTTATATTTTCTCAAATCTGCTACAGGTGAGTATATGTAATTAAGAAAACATTCACAGCTTTATGTTTCTTATTGTGATTATCACAGTATAATTGATATGTATTACTTCATACTTATAGACACAGATCAGCTAACACAAGTAAAACAAAAATAAACCACCACAATCTTTACAAGATGGAGTTTATTTAATTTATGCAGATTTAGATGAGGGATATGCTAAAAGGCAAATTCCAGAAAGAAAAAAAGTAGGATAAATTTTTGTTTTCTAAAACAACTCTTCTATTAAGTAAAGACTGATGACAACTTTCTCAGGTGGTTGAAAATAAGTTTAAACACATTCATATCCAATGAAGAGAGACAAGCTAAAAGTAAGCAAAAACTATTTTAGATTTCATTTCTTAACTGTCTGAAGTTCACTTTTGGGACAAATTCCTAAGGCTGCTCCTCCTCTACCATAATCATAAAAAAAAAGAAACTACATTGACAACTAAACATACCTTTTCATGAAATGCTGTAATTAACCAGAGGTCAACATCAATGCTAGTGCCTCGTTTCTCTGCACCAATGAACTGCAAAATATTGTCATGCTTCATTCCAGGTAAACTGTAAATTTCATATTCGTTCTGCCATGACTGTTTGTCCTTTAAACAAAAGAACACATCAAACCAAGTTAATACCATAATAACGAGAATAAGAGGTACTTTCCCTGACAGAATTTTCCTCCTGTAATTTACTGTGCATTTGTAAGTGGTCTGTCAAAATGACTAAAACCCTTTTTTTCTGACAAGACGGGATTTACTACCTACAAGAAAGCAAGCATAGTGTATAGTTAACATTATGAGGCTGATTATTTTAAAATTCAAAATGTAGTAACAGTATTTATGCTATAAACTACTGACCTAATATATACAAAATATGAGAAACTGTCTTCACATATATTGCACTTTAACATATAGTGGAAAATTGTCCGAGAAACTTAAATTTGTTGTAAATAGACATCAACTGTTGAAAACAACATCAACAATCACAGATATGAACCACGGAAACACAAAGCTGTGGGTTAGAATTGGAGTCTACATGCTGCAAATCATTACAATTGCTTTAGTCTTAAGAGCATGGTTCAATTTTTATATTTTATTAATCTACAAGTACCCCATAAAGAATTAGAAATGTTTTCCTTCATTAAAAATACTGAACAAAGTCTCAGGTTTAATTTATGTCATGCTGATGGCTGAAATCAGCATAAATACATGTCATTTCTCCTAGAAGAATAAGAACCTGCAGATGTATTTATTCAGCAAGTCAACACTTGGTTAATCATCAGAAAACACAGGCACATTTCTTCACCTCAAGTAGCAGTGGGTGTTTTTAAATTGATGTAAAATCTATCCCAATACCATTGTGTATGATCACTTTGTATTCTTTAATTGACTGCGTCTTGAAATTATGAGCTCTATCTATTCTAAAACATGGCTTTCAGAGAGTACTTGCTGGGAAGTAAACATTATTTCACTTAATTGAGGCATATTGAATCGGAACAATCACCTTATGGGTTTGCATTTCAGGACATTCCTTCCAAGTACAATTTAATTTGAAAAATATTAACAAATTCTTCTCAACTGATTGAGAGATGTGCAAGAGCTGCTTAGAAACATTCATGCCAAATACGTATTTTTATGACTAGAAACATTTATAAATTTCACAGAGTTTATGTTTCAATAATTTTCCTGCTGCACTAAAATACTTATTTTAATTCAGAAAAACTCTATCTGCATATTTTTCAGCTCAAGACACTTCCTGCATCTAAGAATTTCTTTGAACTATCTTGATTTACAGTATATATAGAAAATTCTCTAAAATAAAAGTCTCTTCTTATGACTAGAAAAGCTGGTTGAACAATATGGTATTACAAGCAACACAGGACACTAAGAACTTCTGCTTACCTGAATAGGGAATATTTTGACCGCAACGTACTCATTCAGTAGTTGAGCTTTCCATACACACCCAAACCTTCCCCTAGCTTTGATCTCTAGTAACTGCAATGGCTTCAAACCCATCAACGGTGAAGGTGGTGGTGGTCCAGGATCCTGAAATCAGGTTAAACCCATTAATTTTGCTATTGTATGTACCATCTACGATGACAGCACTAGGAAGAAAAGGCTCCTAAACTGAAAGGGACTTGGTATCATATACCCACCCCCTTGCAACAAATTCCCGCGAACAAACACCAGAAACAAAACAGCAACCCTTCTCCATGGGAAAGGAAAATGAGAATGTAAAACATGCTCAGAATTAATGTGCAAGCGACAGCATAACAACAGTTACAGTACAAATCTGTCTAACCAGGTGTAAAAGCACAGCAGAAATTAAGGAATAAAGATAATCAAGCTTTACTTGTGACTTTTTTTAAGCAATAGAGTTATAATAAGCACCTTTGTTACATTTAAGGTTGGTTGTTTTTTGACATACATGTAACTTGTTTAATCCTTTAGGTCAATGGCCCAGTGACATGACTACACAGCCAAAAAGTACATTTCCGTGTGACTAACACTGCATCCCCTCAGCCGTCAGCTGGGAAGCAGAAGACGTCTACATGAGCAATTTGGTTGGGGGCAGCACTGCAGAGCTGAAGTGCATCCTCTCACTGTCTGCACTTACCACGTACCACTTCAGTTCTCACAAGTCATCGAGCTGGTACCAGCACAGCCCTACTTCAAAAACCCCACTGCTTACTGATGACATACAGTTGCAAACCAATATGTAGGCAGGCCATGCCACTACAACATCTTCCAGTACATAACTAACATTTTTTCATTCAGAAACCAGTGAACCACATGCATAGTGCAGACGTTTGGCACAGGAAACGAAGGACCACCATCTCCGCGGTCAGCCCTCCAAGCCACACGAATGGCGGCATGAGGAACCACAGCACCCATGCTTCAACCTACTGATCCGCTCCCATTGCTCCCAGTTTTGCTAATGTAGATAGCCAATGTAACTGAAATGCAAGTACTTGGCTGTACCCCAGAAAGAGAACTGGAATTAAATGTAAGAGATTATCTTGTCATATCTTACTATGTATGTACTTTACTGAAGTGCTAGCCCAACAATTCCTTTTCACCACAAACTGGGAAGTCCAACTGCAGTTGAGCTAGAGCTTCCATAGAGTTGTCCATATAATCCCCAACCTTACTACAGATTTGAACAATTTCCCCTTCTGGGAAAGAAAGTGTGACAGCTTATTCAATATCTTGTAAGAGATGCATAAAATACAAAATACATCTTCTCTATTTTACACATCACCTGAACATAACAAGCAGATTTTCAACCTTATTACCAGAGATGTGCTGCTTTCTGGGCTGTCCTCTCCAATCTACCATGTTAGATTAGCTTGCACCTATGTAGGCTTCTTCCCTACCATGACCAAATGTGTCAGACACATTTACATAAGCCTCTGCAACAAAGAATATTATCCTATGCACACAACTAAAGAAATGTGATCTCTTCTGTCGGATTCCTGTTTTCTGCAGGAAAATAAGTCAAGTTCTGGTGTGTGGTGGTCATGAAGCAGAATCACCAATACTGTCACCGTGAGATATAGCTCCACCTTCCTTCCACAGATCCCCAGATTAGTTTGAGCCACAATTTGTTCCTCAGTCCAAATTACTACAGAGGATTGCAAATGCCAGTGCCAGCAGTGATAGCGTGGGGGCAGACTGCTAGACCACAGATGGCAAGAGCGTGAGCGGCTGCTTTTAGTGGCAGTGTAGGTCTATGGAGACCACAAAATTGTGCCACAAGTCCCAATATTACATATGAAAGAAACAAACATACAAATGACAGGTAGGTATCACTTTTAAATGTTAGCCACACTGCAGAACAGAACACCCCTAAAGTCTAGTCCTCAAAAAAACCCCAAACCCAACCCCAAAACGTACACTTGGATTCTCTATTTTTTCCCCCATCACAGCTGTAATGCTGTTTTACAGGGAACGAATGAAAAACACTGGGGTAGTTCCTTCTACAAAACAAATGAGAGTACTCAATAGTTAAGCATGTGAGCACTTCAGTTAGCAACATAAAATTCTTATGCATGTTAAAGACTTTTTCTGAACAACTGCGGTTTTAAGTATACTTCACTATTGTGCGAATGGAGACAAGTGCTTCTGTATTCAACACAAGTTTTGAGTAGTTTAAGCACAGCAATAAATAACCATGCTCTGGTTTCCTATTAATATATCCTTCAAAAAACCACGTTTCATAGAGAGACAGATTTATAGCAATTTCAAGAAACTGTAACATAATTCCACAAATTAAGGACTGTAAAAGAAAATATAATGTTTGAAATTCAAATTAGAGACACATTACAGTACTATCCTCAAAGAAGTATGAAATCCTTTCACAAATATGACAGTGACAGATGCTTAAAGTTGTTACATCAAAATTGCTGGGTTTGAACTGGACAAACAATACAGAAAATGAAGTTTAAGCATTAAGTTTTCCCTCCCGTGCTGCCTTTCATTCAATGCCAGCCCCTTTTTGAGTATTTCAGGCACCCAGGAAACCACTGTCCTCAATTTGTAATAGTTACAAGCAAAACTAGAAACAAGATGCTCAAATTTACTCACAAAAGACTACTTCAACTTTTTAAAAAGCCCTGTTATTTTTAAGAATCTTGAGCATTGTACAGCAACCGGGGATTTAGAGTCAGGCAATCAGACAACCTTTTAGCGTTTTGAACCTAGTGACTTGTCTAAATTATGAGAACAATTTGTGGGAAGTAAACCCAAATCTCACTTGGCTTTAGCGCCTAGAACAACCCCCTTTCCTTTCCATACCCTCCACCCAAAAAATCTGCCAGTACTTTGAAGCACACTATGGGAATTTCTTCCTCGACCATCAAGCAAATCTCCACTTCATACTTCTCAAAGAAAATTACAGCATCTACCGCACAAGAGAAGGAAGTCACTCCTCAGTAAAAAGTGGCCAGCGAAAACTGGTGCTTCTTACTTTCACATTAAACCATGGTATTTTACACAGAATCAC